CCCATCACGATTAATGATTGGCCTGAGTTCCAGTCGATCAAGAATCAAGTCCCACGGTGGTGGAGGAACTACTTCCGCTTTGCCTTTCTGGGGTTTGGGACGGATGTTTTGCTGACATCTGTAACATCTGTAACATCTGTAGACCTAGAGTTGGTTTTGGTGGTGTTGCAATTCTCTCTCTGTACTCACTAGTCGAACGCTGGGTTTGTGGATATTGCCGAATGGGTGATTTTCCATCATTCCATCTTTTAGGAATTCAGGTGATTTTCCGTCGTTCTGTCTTTTATGATTTCGGGGGATTTTCCACTGTTCTGCCATTCTGCAATTACGTCTTTTAGGATTTGGGGTCATTTTCCACCGTTCCACCATTCCACAATTCCGTCTTTAGGATTTGGGGTCATTTTCCGCTGTTCCGTGATTCTGCCATTCCACCGTTCTGCCGTTCTGTCACTCCAGCTTTTAGGGTTGCCCAGGCTGTAATTTTACCTGGGAATTATTCTACTGTAGCAGGGTTTCTACTCTCTATTATACATTTAGTTCATCCACTATCTGTATACAGCATGTTAGTCTTTGCTATTGTGTGTTGTAATTTAATTAGTGTAATAAATCTATGCGCATTACCACCTTTCTCAATTAAGAGTGGAGTGCGGGTGGGTGTACCCTATGATGACGTCATTCATGATAAATGTGTTAATATTGCAGTTATTTTGTTTGTTTCGTGTTCCTTTTTCCCAGAAGAAGAAGTTTCTTGCAAATAAAAGATGATTTTAATTTGCATTTTCAGTTTACTGTCAGTAATACAATAGTATTTCCTGTTAAAAATTACTTTAATTTACAGATTTGGAGCAGAGGGGATTTTGAATTTATCAGTCAAAAGATTGAGGATGTCCTTCCATACTCACATTACTTTTATAGGTACAGAAATAAAAATGAATTATTTTTAACAGTTTTTTGTAAGATACTTTTGTCTAAATGGTAAAAGTGAAACACATTTTAAATTCTTTTAATTTTTTTTTCAGTGGCATAATTGGTAGCGGAGTATGTGTCTTCTCTCGCTATCCGATTATTGATGCCTTCACTTATCGTTATTCTTTGAATGGCTATATGTACAACATCACTCACGGTGACTGGTTTGGTGGAAAAGCTGCTGGATACTGCCTGATAGATCATCCTAAACAGCCAATTCATTTCTTCTCTACTCATGTAAGTCACATTATGCCTAATCTCAGCTAATTTATATTAATAATGCAGGTGTTATTTAACCTTTGCCAATCCTAATCAGTATACAGTGGTTAGGATTACCTTTCCATTTTGCTAAAAACTAGAATTCACAACATCAGAATGATGTAGAGTACTGTTTGATTTTATCCCATTAGTAATACATTAAGGTAACACATGCATTGCATAATATTATTTTAAGGATCTTTATTTCATGATCATTAGAAAATGGCTGATTAATAGTATGGATACATGTAACTGCCTTGTAACAAATGATACTATCGATCTAGTGCTTATTGTGTTTCCATCTCTTCTTGTCAAGATGCATGCAGAATACAATGAAAGCAGACAGTACCTACCCCATCGGACAGTTCAATCTTACCAGCTCTCTCAGTTCATTCAACATTTGACGCAGCCTACTGATACTGTTATAGTTTGCGGGGACATGAATTGTGAGCCATCCCAGCTGTGTTACAGAGTCATCAAGGATGTTACTGGTTTGGTCGATGCTTGGGACAAACATGGAAAAGTGAAGGTGATACCATACTGTCTTGTAACTAAGAAATGTGTGACTTATTTTGTTGACATATTCCTTTCAAAGGCATGTTCCCTTCATGGGTGTTCACAATGCTGTGCCAGTGAACTCTGCTTGTTGCTGTTTTCTCTGTACATGGGGCAGAATGTTAACAATACCTTTACCCTCTCAAACTTTGGTGTACATAATGACAGACTTACTTGTAATTGTGCTAAATGTCAATGTGCTTCTGTGGATTTTATGCACTGGCTTGATCCCCGATCTCCTTGCAACAAAATAAGTGTCTCCTGCTTCTTTTAGCCTGGTTGCTGTGGAAACACATCAGATGTCAGCCACAACACCTTTTCAGGAGACAGAAATGCAAGCAACACTCTTAAGGGTGGACCAGATGATGGCCACAGAATCGACTACATTTTCTATCGCTCTACCCAGGGAAGCTTAGAATGTGTAGATTGTGAAGTTACCATGGGACTCATTCCAGGAAAGAACTTCTCCTTTTCAGACCATGAGGCTGTTGCAGCTTCATTTGTGGTGAAAGAGTCAGCTTTAAACAAGACAGGTATAAAGAAATAACCGGAACTATCTAATGCAACCCTTCTATGTTCCAACTATCAGGTGTAAAATTTAAATTGATTTTGGATTTTGTGAGAAATTGTTGGACTATTTTGGTCATACAAGATTTTCTTGTTTACAGATTCTATTCACAGAACAGGTCCAAATGTAAAGAAGAGTCAAGAAGCCCTGTCCGACACAAAGAAAGTCATCTCTAAAGCAATTGACAATTTATCAAGTCAAAACTACTTCCAGATCTTTATTGCCTGTGCCATGTTGTTCTTTGTCATATCACCTGTCTTTTTTCCAGTGGGTGAGCACTCTCCTCTATCACTGCACCACGTTGCTGGCAAGATCTTGTATCTGGTTCGCATTTTTACAACTGTCATTCTCTCTGGCTTTATGTTCTATTTGATACTCAATACGCGAGATGAATACAGTGCATACAGAAGTGTGCAGCAGATGATTGCCATACAGTTGAATCAGATAAGCCCTAGGAAATGAATGAACTGCTTGACAGTAAAGTAATGTGTAATCTTTCTAACTAACCCTTTGGAAAGTGTCGTTATCAGTTTTTGCTTGCCAATCTTCATTGGGACTATCGGGTTTGATCTAAATAAGATTACTTTTAGGAAATCAATTATGGTAGCTCATTTCAAGTCATGTACTTTAAAAATAATTATTATATTGCTTTTGTTTGTCACTGATATAATGCATGCTCTGATTGGCAAATTGCAGGGTATTATTCTCCCATAATGCCCACGGACCGATTACGGGCCTGCAAAACTACATAGTTACATACATACATACCTAAACGGTAGGCCATTTCCAAGTTGCCTTTTGCCTCTGTCGTGATGATTAAGAAAGCCAAAAAGCCATATAGTAAACAACTTGTTAACCTCAAACATTTGGTCTTTACAAGAAAATCTCAAACCTCAGCCCAGCCATATTGAACGCGAGGTCAATACAGCAAGGTGTCGGTTTAAGATTTTCCTGTAAAGACCTCACTCTTGGTTAATAAGTGGTTATTTAATTAATTAATTCATCACTTATAACAATTTATTAATAACACTATATAGCACAATGTATATAAGCTTATAGTTTAATAATTTAAAATTATTATGGGTTATCAAATGGCAACTAGAAATAATTTCATGTGCTTGCTGTCAAATTCTAATAATTTTCCAAGCCTTTGGGTGAGGGAAATTATCAGAATTTTGACAAAACGTAAGTATACTGTTTGATTACTTTTTAATATCATGGGTGACAAATTACACTTACAATCCTGGATGTTTGACTGATTATTGTATTGGCAAATTTCGCACCAAGCATTGCCAAGGCAATTTTGTAATTTCACAAGTGAAATTATAAATTAATGCTGAACTTTTTACCTCAGAATTAAGGAGTAATTTGTCACCCATGATATTAAACACTGTAAAAATCCCTTAATGTCTTCTGTTTATAAATCAATTTCATTGATGACTGTTGGTAGAACCTGGTAATTTCTGTTTCATGATTTGTTGTCTTTAGGGAGTTTGATGACAAGTTATCATAGCGTATTTCTTACATGTACCTGAAGTGTTTTTAGATTGAGATCTAAACCTGATCTTCTATTTTGAAATGGTGTGCCTACAGGTGACTAATGGATAATAATTATATCAATTTTTTTAATTCTTATGTAATATGATTATCACTGATTTTGACACATTTGAAGAGACTTGCAACATTTTGGTTGATCCCAATTTTTTGCAAATATTTACATTTAACATTGTAAGACATAAAATGATCGAACAGTATTTTCTTCCTTTAACCCATTGACTCCTGGAGCTTTTTGCCAAAAATGCATTTTTTGGAGATTTTGGAGATTTTGCAGCTGGATATGGGCCAAATTAGCTCCAATCTACTCAAAAACTCATTTGCAACATGACAGCATGCCTTTCTTTCCACTAGCATCGCATTTTATGACTTTTTCGCTAAGGCATGCACAGAAATCAAAAGTTTGAGACCTACGTCTTTAGGCTTTTCGATTTTCTTATTTTTTTTTCGCCTTTCCTTTTTCTCCTTTTCTTTTCTTTTGGCTGCAGTGATTGACCTTCTACTGGGCTTGCTTCCAGTTTAGAGCATTCTGAGAAAGCATCATCAAGACAGGCAATTTTTGCCATGGAGTAGCCACGTGCAGGGGCAGGAAATTTTGCTCCGAGTTTTTCACTCAACCTTTTGAGTATTTTTGTGCATATCTCAGGCTCCATTGGGCCGATCACTCTGATCTGAGTATCATTGGAAAGATCTTTTCCCCCAGCAGACGTTGAGCATAGATGATGCCAATTTTGGTCAAGGGTGATGACGTCAGAAGTGGAAGAAAGGTCAAGGCTCGTCATGACCGGTTACGGCTGGCACAGGAGGCAATGGGTTAAGAGAAATCATTTTGTAGGAAGATGAACAAATTTCTAAAAATTATAATTATGAATAAGTTAGTTACAGCTATTAAAAATCGCTGATCATTATGCAAATAATAGAGGTCTCCTTTTCATGTACGACTGCTTTGTTTTAGTGGCAGGGCCCCTAACAAAAGCAGTGAAGCCAAATCAAGAATGGTGAGTAGTCAAGTCTAAAGGTCCTTTTGGCTTCAGCACTCATGAGAAGTCTCTTGGGGCCTCACTCCCAGCATCAGTGGTTTCACTGACAAGACAAAGCATTAATAAGGTTGTGAAATCCCCCCAGCTATGTAGGGCACCCATAAAAGGTTAACTCTGGCCTGATGTATGAGTCAGTGCAGAAAAAAGCAATATCAGTAGCAAATTTCATTTCAAAAGGATTCTAAAATTGAAAGAGCAAATGCCGGTACTGTTCATATTGGGGGGCCAAGTGGCAGGCAGTTCTTAGATTACAAGTGTGATGGGCTCATCTGTACTGATAAAGAGCTCTGGTTAGACTCAGCTGGACAAGGTACTTTCCTCTCACAATGCCTCTTTTTAATCAGAAGCCCTAAATGGCCATAAAAATGGGCCTGTGCATAACATACAGTAAAATTTCCACAGGGTTCGTACCCTTTTTCAGAAACAAATTTCCAGGACTTTTCCAGGACTCAAGATTGATTTTTCCAGGACTCTAAAATTCACATCAACCTTTCACTCCCAAGATCTCAATTTTAATTCTCCTTACTGTCTGTCAGACATTTCACATTTTTTACTTGAGTTTGACAGATTTCCAGCACTTTCCAGGATCAGTCGCCCTTTTTCAGGACTCTCCAGTCCTGGAAAATGCCACAGGAAAATTCTAGGACTTTCCAGGTTTTCCAGGACCCGTACGAACCCTGTTCCACTTTCGTGAGGTAGTCAGTATAGGAAATAACCCAATTGTCCACCTTATTAACATACAGCAGCATGAGATCATGTCCATACTATTTAAAAGCAATTTATTCAAAAATTAGGTAATGACAATAATATATCTTCAGTATAAATTTAGGAAAAACATTTTTAGCTGCAACTATACATGATGGCATGTTTTTAGTAAAAGCAACTTGACAAATAAACTGTGTAAATTATCGTTATTTAAAATATTACCATCGTAATAGCGAGACTGATACTGCAAAGGTCATGGTCAAAGAAAACTGAAATGCGACAAAATGATCCTACCTACAGTAACTGTAAATAATTACCAATATTGCGAATTGATATATTATATTTTTAAAATATTTAGAACAAGAATCAACCACAACAATATGCTGAGCTGAAAGTATAAATTAAAATCATTCTGCAAGGTGGTCAAATTAAGTTTGTCACTTAACTAACAATGACGCCTAGTAAAACAATGTCTGTTTTTGTATTATAGTTCTTTATTCTAATAGAACACTTAATTACTATTAATTTGTGTAACAGTAGAGAGATTTTGTGATTTGTCAAGGCAAAGCACAAATATTAAAAAGAAATACAGTGACTGAGCATTGAGGTTTACAAGCCTATATGAATCAAGAAAATTTATTCAATTCTAGAATAGAGCAGCTGTAAGAAGTCAGGATGCATAGAAAATCAGTTTTTTTTAGCTGTAATTAAAGGATGTACTAACCTGACAGTTATTCTAACCAGCACAACTAATTATAAATTAAAATAAAATAATAAAAATTGATGTCCCACATTACTCCTGTAATTTGATTTATTTTTTAATTTTACATCCAAAAACTTCACTGACCATCCACTAGGCTGCCTGCAAGGGCTATTGCACATAACTTTCTTTGAATGCTGTATTGCACAAACACGTGCAAAATAGAAACTACTGACCAGAATTGAAAAATACCTATTTAAAGGCTATTGGCCATCAATAAAAAAATGTCTTAGATTCAACATGATTACAAACTTTTTTATCATCAGCTTCTAGTTTACAAGATACATGTCCACATTGAGTCGTGCTGTAGTTTTATTTGCCACGTAACCCTTTTACTTCTTGCCTGGACTACACCCTCAAGCCAGGAAGATGGAGTAGCAATCGTCATCCTTGTCAAAAGCATTCCTCTTAATTCTCAGATCTGCAGCAAAGCCAGGCCAAGTCTCTGATACTTTCAGTAAAAGTGAGTACTGTTTATAACAAAGAGCAGCCCACTCCTCTCTCTCTGTAAGGATTATTTGCATTTGGGATCTTTCCCAGTAGGGGATCATCAGCTCGCTTCTCTTGGCAGAATCGACTTAGGCTACGAATGAATGAACACAAAGTCAGCATCAGTTGAAATTGAAGAAAAGCTTATGGTTATCCCTCTAAAATATCTGTTTCCCATCACTGACCAACCTGGCTATTTTTACTGAAAAAAGTTTGAAAAAGATGAATTATATATTTTCTGGAACTACACAATTAAGTCAAGAGGTCAATGACCCCAGCTCACTGGAATTACAATTTTCTTAGTAAAACTTTTCGCATTAGCAATTGCCTGCCACTTGATAGAAACAAACTAGGCAAGTAACCAGTCTTTTCAGTCTATAAAGGGACTTCATGTAGACTTGGAATAAGAAATGGCAGCCATGTTCACACAACAGTGAGTCATTTGAGATTGTTAGCTTCCTGAGGGTGTTCTTTTACCAAAGAAATTGTACTTCAAAATTATATAATGCAATTCACATACAAGTATCTATGTCACTACTTTTCAAGATTAAGAATAATTTACTCACTCGGTTAGAAACAATTTTTGAACAGCTAGCTGACTGGCACTTGAATCTGTATTGAATAGATGAGTTGCATGATGGCGTCATTTGACTACAACTACCAGAATCCTTCAATCTGTTTTGTTTCTTAAGGTAATTAAGGCAATTGTTATTTAAACCCCACTGGTGTTTCAAATTTAAAGAATAAAGAGAAATCAAAAGGAGTTGTGGTAGTTGTAGTCAAATGACAACAACGTGCAAATCTGCTATTGCCCTGCGACACAGAGATTCCCTCCTCTTTCAGCTCAGTGAGAGACGGGAGGAAACCTCTCCTTGCACCTGTACAACTGTTTGATCACAGTTGCCCACAAATAGAGATGAGCAAATTAAAAATATTGGTATTTGACAAACTTCAACCGGTTTTGACCTTCAAAATGTTGCCTGATTGATCCAGGAACTTATATTAATGCCCCTCACTTCGTGCATTGGCAGCATTGCCAAATGGAGCAACATTGTTTTGGTTGATTCAACTTGAAACTTTTCACAGAAAACTTCCAGAACATTCATTTCCGTCTCCAAATTCGGGAAATTTGGGAAATTTGCGGTCAAATGGAAAGCGACCTTTGTCAAGTGAAGGAAGAGGAATGCAAATTAAGAGAGGTTTAATTATAAGCAGCCCTTTAAATGCCCACATCTCGCAGTCAATATACAATAAAGAGCTATTTTTTGGTGACTGAGGGAAATTTTCTGTTGCCAGACTATATACATTGGCATCAACAACGGAAGTAACAGAACAGTTGTAAAGGGGACGATTTTGTGGCGCTGTTGAACGACTGGACATCGATGAAACTGAAAGATGGCTTTCGAACCAAACATCACGCTAATCATAAGATTCGATTCCAATATTGAATTGATAATTTTAAGCTTAATTCTCGGGAACTGAATGTATTTGCCACGAAAACTAAGCAGTAATTTCACCTTGATACGACTAACTTATCAATATTAAAATAACCGTTTAGGAATTAATGTCAAAGAGTTTGGGGAACGTTTCAAGCTTATGAGCTAGATATAGTGCGAGTATCATGGCCAACGGCTGTCTAAACACTGCAGCTGAATCGCTGCTCTCTGCGAAGAACAAAGCAACGCCACGACTTTAATCCTCTCGAATTATAAAAGAAGCCTTTTGAATATAAACAATGCCAACATAAAGCGCAATTAATTAATAAACAGGGTTTTGACAGCTAAAGTCAATACCTTCATGAACACGCAGCATCAC